ACCATCCTTGCAAACAATCTTTGAGACAAGTATATCACCCCGTGGCTCAGAGATATCTGGTGGTCTTGTGCAAACAATCTTTGAGACAAGTCCATAGTGCAGTTCCTCACAGTGTGGTAGAAGCCATATGAAAATTGCATAAAGTTGTTCTGTTGCACTAACTTCTTTTGAGGCATTTTCTGTTTTCCTTTGAACTATTTTTTCAGTTTATCTGCAAACTGTTGAAATGTCTTCTATGCTTTCAATTCCTGCTCTTATTCTTAGTTTTTCATTAGAAAGAAAAGTATGGAATTTGTAACCTGCAGAACTTGAACATGAGCCAGTGATGTGCCCTTGCCACAAAGAAGGCTGATGGTATCTTGGGCTGTGCTGGGCAAAGCATGGCCAGCAGGTTGAGAGGGGTGACCCTTCCACTCTGCTCAGTGCTGGTGAGGCCACAGAGCTGTGCCCAGGTCTGGGCTCCCCAGTACAGGAGGAATGTGGACATACTGGAGAGAGTCCACAAAGGGCAACCAAGATGATGAAGGGACTGGAGGATCTCTCCTGTGAGGACAGTCTCTGAGACCTGGGACTGTTCAGCCTGGACCAGAGAAGGCTCAGGGGGGATCTCATCCATGTGTATAAACACCGGAAGGGAGGCTGCAAGGAGGATGGAGCCAGGCTCTTCTCAGTGGTGTCCAGTGACAGGACCAGAGGCGAAGGGCACAAACTGAAACATGGGAGGTTCCCAGGTTCCCTCTGAACATCTGTTGGTTTTTTGTTTGGTTGGTTTTTTATAATGTGAGGGTGACTGAGCACTGGCACAGGTTGCCCAGGGAGCTTGTAGAGTCTCCATCCTTGAAGATACTCAAAAGCCGTCTGGAAATGGTCTTAGGCAACTGCTGTAGGTGGCTCTGCTTGAGCAGGGGGTTTGGACCAGATGACCCACAGGGGTCCCTTCCAACTTCAACTCTTCTGTGAAATTTGATACACTCTGGATATATAAAAAAATAAATGGTATTAATGCTGTACTTCTTAAAAAATTTAGCATTTTTCTGAGAATGTGCTTTTTCCAGTAATCTGATGTACTTAATATGAAATTAATGTAGATGTATTTTTAATATTTTTGTTATTGAAATTAAAATAGCATTTTTGTATGTGTTCATAGAAACTACCAATTCATAGTTACAGAATTGTTTTTGGGCTTTAAATGTGGTGCTTCTGTATTTGGCTTTTAGGCAACTTATCTTGTAGTTTACACTAGTGGGAACTAGCACTTTTTTGTTTAATACTATTACTCTTTCTTTGTAAATTTTGATTAATATTCTAGACACTATGAAGGTAGCTAAAATAATCAGAAATACTTTCTGGAAGATACTGGTTGCTGGATCCAAATTTCATGGTTTTAATCAACGTTCTTGCTTATCCAAATTCTTGTTTCTGTACATGCTTAACTGGACATGACCTTTTAAAACTGAATTTATAACAAACAAACAAACCAGCGACTTAAAATTTTATAGGGAAAGGATTCTTTCCAGATTGTAAGGAAAGCAGAAAGTTTTCAAAAGTCAGAATTTGAGTGGAGAAGCTTTCTGACAAGGTGCAAGAGTACAAAAATCTCAGTTATAGAAGTAGTAATGTGTCTTATTTTGTTTCTTCTAGATTAATACAATAAAAGATAGTGTTGCTCACCTGTTGTATTTTAAAATAGGTTAATACATTTTATTAGTGTATTTAAGGAAAAAAAGTGTGATACTGTTAAAACTTTAATATAATAGAAAGTATTTTATAGTCAGCACTTTCTCATATAGTAAACATTTAAAACCCAGATTTTTTAAGACTGTGAACATCACTGATGAGAAGGAATCAATTTTTGAGGGTAGGGTGGGCAAGGCAGTTAAGATTATCTTTAACTGTTTGTTTAAAAGGATTTGACTGGACTGCTTAAAGTAGTCATGTGCTGTTTGGTAAATAATTTTTGGTTTTGTTGAAGAGTAATCTGCTCTCTTTTTGAAGATGGTTCTGCAAGTACTAGGTTGTCATGGAAAGTATTGCCTAAATGTGTCTGAGATTTGTGTGTTTTTCTTTGAAGCTTCACAATGAGGATGACCCCCCAGAGTCTTCAGAAGCTGAGCAGCCTTCCACGTCTACAGAGACTACACAAACTCCCCAGACGGCAGCCTTATCTGACGCAGATACTTCCCCTCCACCTTACTGTAGCATAGCTGTAGAAACAGCTGCAACCTCAGGTACTTTCCTTACACAACAGCTTGTCAGGGAGGAGTGTGTGTGAATCGGTGGTACCATGCTGTGGGTTTTTTGTTTTGTTTTTTCTATGCACACAATTGCAGTGAAAAGCTGTGCTTTCATGCACAGTCCTTTGTCTGGCTTGTTCGGAAGAACTGCGCTTCTAAATGATGCTGATTGTTCCAAATTACTAGTCTAAATGGATGTTCATTAATTAGTGTAATGGGTTTTATTTAAGCCTGCACGTAGCTCAGTTCCACGTTTAATCTAAGTCTCCGAGTAGGGCTCCATTGTTAGACCTCATTAGCAACTTTCTTTGCCTCTTTATATAAAAAAAAAAAGCACTGATTTGTCAAAACTCACACTTCTTAAGTGTGTGCTATTTTTTGTTGAGAATACTGCTGTGAAAAGATTCATGCTTTAAAGGCTCTTGATGAAACTTCTCATTGAAAATGAGTAACAGGGGTCTCTTTCTCCAATTATTCACTACTCCTTTTCTCATGAGGTTGTAAATCTTCCTTGGGGTATGGGAGATGACTTAACAGCAGGCACCATCGAAGCCCCTGTTTAAGCAAAGTTGCTTGGATTTGCGTCTCCCATGTGCCAGAAAATACTTCAGAAGTAATCTCCAACCTGATTTTTTTCATATTGATTAAAGGAGCAATTTTTTGTCTCTGTTCTTGAGACAATATTTGCAAGTATAATACATAGCTATGCAGAATTATCCCTATATATAACATCTTTGTGGTGGTGTGCTGACAAATCTATTTACCCCGTGGCTTGTGCTGACATCTTTACCACATAAGCCATTTTTTTACAAACCACTGCTGGCTGTAGGAGGAAGCTCACGGTATGTTTTAAATAATGTTTATTCACTTTGTTAATAGTTCTATTCCATATGATGATGCTTTACTTTATTTTTCAGTATATAAGAATGAAGTCTGTGGTCCATTTTGATAGAAGGAACATTTTTAAAAGAATGTGGTGAATCTTGGAAACCTTGTAATCTTGGAAACCTTGTAATCTTGGAAAAACTGATTTTCATAGAACAACTGGAGTTAACAACAAGGCTATGCTAATAAAAATACAGCATGATTATTACTGGACTTAAGTAACTAATTAACGTTGATAATGAAAATATTATTTTTTATTAGGAAGTTCCATGCATGTCTTTTGTATGATTCAATAAAAAGCCTTTCATTGGAATGCCTTGAGATGTAACTCAGCAAACACAATTTTTTGTTCATAGATTTGTTGACTCCTTGTAGCATCTAGGTTAAGGTTTCTGCTTTAAGTAGCAACTAAAAGCACCATCAAGCTGTTCACTATTTTATTTTATAAAAATAAAGTTTTTTTAAAAGCTTACAAGAACTTGAAATACAAATATCAATTTCTGCCTCTGTTGAAAAAAATATACTTTAAAGCTCAATAATTACATGCATGTAAAATTTAATATTCTTGACATCTTTCTGGTTTAAAAATGCAAAACCTCTTTATTTTGAACAGAAACACACAATGAATTTTATCCTGTACCACCTCCATACAGTGTAGCTACCTCCCTTCCTACTTACGATGAAGCAGAGAAGGCCAAAGCTGCAGCAATGGCAGCTGCTGCAGCGGAAGTTACCCAACGAGTAAGTGATACAGTTCGGCATTATTTAAATTTTGTGAAATACGTTAGGCTGATCTAATTACTTATAACAACTGGGCCCATATTATGGCCTATTTATTCAAATAATGGTGGGAAGGTGATTTAAATATTTTGAATGCTTAGATTTTGTATAGATAGTGTAAGTTAGTTGTAAGGAACTATGGAAAGTGTATCATATTCACTCTTTTCTGAGGCATAGCTGCTGTCTAAATAGCTTTAAAAGCCTTTGTTTTTCCTGTTTTAATAGTTTGTCTAGTATTTTGTTATCTTCTAAGTAGGGATCCACTACTAATGCTACTTTTTAGACTTATTGCTGATATTTAGTGTTTCAGATGGTTAAAAAACCCCAATCTTCCCCCCCGCCCCAAAAAACAAACAACCAACCAAAACCCCAAAAAAACCCACAAACAAGTAGACCTTTAGAGAGGAAGGAGATTTCCAACAGTCTGGAAGGGGCAAAACCTGAAATAATGTAGATCTTTTTTAAAAGGAAAAATCTCTGTTGTTTGCTTCATGAAAACTGAAGTTCAAAGAAATGTTCCAAGTACTTGAAACAAACAAAAAAAACCCCACACCATGACTTCAAGTAAACAGTAAGTTAAGTAATAGGTATTTATTCAGTGCTTGTAGTTTTGTAAGAATTAATGTTATGAAGAATACAGTCTTTAAAATAGAAAATTTATATCTGCAATTAGTGTTAAATGTCAGTTTTGTAAGCAATTTTCTCCCCCCCCTTTTTTTTTTCCTCCTAAGTTTTGAAATGTCAGAATTCTGCTGTTTGGTAGTTTTGGCCATTATATACTTTACCCATATTAGGCTTCCTGTGCTTTCACTAGTAATCTTGACCTTGAGATCAAATGTGATTGCATTTTGAGATACATAAAATCTTACTGACTGCAGTGTGCTTGTGACTGGAAAAAAAATTCCGCTCACCTAGTGGGAGGCTGTTCTTTCCTTGTCTGCTGTGCAGTATCACAGTGCACAACTCTAAGGTATGCACAGCTACAGTTAAAGTGGATTTGTGTAACATCACCACTGAAGGTGTTAAATCTGTTTTGCTAAATGCAGCAGGGAACCAGGAACATTTGCATGGTTCTTTGCCAAGTTTCTGCTATGAAGTGATGATCTCCACTTGTAACCTTGTAACTGCTTTAACAGAGCATGAGTTCTATGTAGTCTGTCCCTACTGCTTGACATGAGTAAAACTTTTCCTGGAATATTGGTCTGAATAAAACCCTCAATCTGAAATTATAAACTTTTAAATGTACTTGGAACATTAACAACCCAAACCTTAACTTTTAGGGTAACCTTACCAGTACTATGACACTTGAGGCAGGACATTTGCAACTGTCTTGCAAGATTCTTCTAACTTTGTGTGTCTAGAAGCCTATGAGGTGAAAATTTCAGGTGTATAATCTTCCTTGGAGTGAATTTCCTAGGGAAAACCTAAGGCTAGGGTTCAGCCAATTAACCAATTCCAAGGATAAAGCTAAGAAAAATAATAGTTAAAAAAAATCAGTGTTTTTTCCTTGTTGTCTGAAGCTTGTTTTTATTTTGGAGAACTCTTTCTTACATGTTTAGGCCACTGTGTCAGAAATGTCTTTTGCCCTTCCTTAGACAATCTGCCTGATTTTGGCCAAATTACAAGTTTTTGAAAAATGAGTTTCCACAGTTGATACATACAGCTTGCAATTTAGTAAATGTGTAGAGTTTTTCTTGCCTGAACAAGTTTAGACTGCTTGTAGCCTGAAGGGTTGGATGGGACAGTAGGTGTGCTGTTGCCAGAGAACCTTCTCAAATGTTCTGTATCAGAGTAGGATTACGGGACTAAAAGTAGATACACTTTATGACTGCTCTGACTGCTTCTAGTGAAAACACTGGAACTGAGAAATAGGAATTTCTGGTGCACCCTGAAATAGCTTTATTATTCAGTTAGAAGGGAAGGGGAAAGCCACTTGATTCAACTGCAAGGAAATCATTGATAGGTGGAGGGAAGAAGGATAACAAGTCTCAGCCTCTGAAGCTTATGTGTTGTAAGAAGAGAAGCCTGGTTTTGGTTGGGCCAGGAGGTAAATGGCTCAAAGTGAATGTAGGCAGAGAATAGAGAGAATCAGTCTGAGTCAAAATGAGGAGAGGCAAGGGTGAATGCAGAGCAGTGGTATGGAGTGAGTACAGAGATTTAAATGAGAAACAGGAAAGAGCAGGATAAACTAGGACTGGTGGAGAAAGGAGCCCAGGTGGTGACAAAATGTGGTTCTGGGAAAGGAGCTGAAGCTGGTGTGTGAGAAAGGAGGA